AGCAGGAATTAATTTCCCAGGAGGGAGTTGTACTGGACTAAGGCATATAGAGAACGTACATATGTGTTCCAAACCTCAAAGGTCTCTACATCAGGTGTGGCATTTCCTTATGACTCCACTGGATAATAAATCCCCTTACAATTCTGTATTTGTGGGATGAGTCACTGTTTTGGTTTCTAAAAAGCAACAGAAAGCATTCTTAATAGTATTAACTAGAGATTAAAGTGTGTTTAGAATCTGGTTGACAAGGAATAGCAATATTATTTATCTCCTGGTAGGAATTCCCTGGTACTTGCTACTTTTCTTCCTGAAAAATGACTACAATGTGAACTCTGGTTTTTATTATTTAAGGAAAAGTAAAACAAATTTCAGGCTAAGCAATGTAATATCTGTATTAAGGTATATTTGATACTAATCCTGAGATCTGTAATTAAATTTTTTTGGTAAGAAATGTTTTTATTACACTTGAAGAGAAATACTTTGCTGTATGTTTCTTTAGCAAGAGATTTCTATTCTGCAAGTGCTTGGCCTGAAAAAAACTGTAGTCTTTTCTGTGATTTAATTTTATTGAGTGAGTTACTTCTTTCTTTATGTATACATAATGATATGTAGTAGGCATTTAAATTATAAACAAACTGCAGAGCAAAAAGGGGGATGAGAGGAAACTAGTGGTTTCATGCTGCTTGTTAGTATTTTGGATTCAGTTAAAGGCAAGTCAGTTGTTTCTTACTGTATCTTAATATGTGTGTGTGAACAAAATTTATTTTCAGAATTGAAGAAACCTCAGAATTGTTGAAAATCTCAAACAGTGCCTCTGAGAAGACCTGGTCTCTGTAGACTTATGGAATATGTATGTTTGTACAGCATTAAATTTTTAATATATCAAATTTGTAATGATCACCAATGCTTTTATTCTTTTGAATAAATACTTTTTAATGCATCTGTGTATTGAATTCCCTCCCCTCAGCCCCAATTTTTTGTTTTAAAAACTGTTCAATAGCTTCCCCCCGCTTTTGTAAAGTGAAGTCATTACAGCAGTGTATTTTTGTGTTGACATTTGTTAGCAGTGTGCTAAGTAATATGTTTTTTTAAAGTGCAAGTTTAAGGACCGTGGTTTACATCCTGTTGGAAACTTTCCAGCTGGTACTTGCATATTGCACCCAAGAGGCTTTCTTACATACCATCTTACCATCTGTACTGTTGAGTAAGTCTTAATGAAAACTTAAATACACAATTTTAAATATGTACCTTTTTTGCTGTTTTTCATTTAAATATAAAATTCCATACTGAGCTGGAAAGCACCAACACATTATGACTTCCATTAACGCTGACAAAGTGAGGGTCAGTTTGATCCTAAATGCTGAAATGTGCAAGTAAGTCCACAGACTTTGATTGCAAGAGATGTGTTGAGTGTTTTAGTGCTCTTTCCCAATGCATTTTAAGACCAGCAGCACAGATGGAGACCATCCAGTATACAAAGATACACAACACTTTTATGATTTGAGGTCATTTTAAAATTTCTCTTTAGAGACCTAAGTAGATGTAGAACTTCCATAAACATTATATAATCAAACGATGTGTGAGGTTTGATAAGATTTATTTAGTTATTACTCTTTGTAAATTGGGAGCATATCATATCAAGGTTTCTTTGTGCTATAGTACTCACTTGAAAAGATTTCTGGAGTTTGATATCACAATACCAGTGGATGTTTTTGACAGCGTTTGCAAATGAAGGTGAAAGCAGCTGTTTGACACTGCTGTAAAAAGTTGTTTATATGTTTTAACAATAATTATTACTTTTTTTGGTAACTGTATTGAATGTAAATTGACTTTGTTTTACATACAAACAGAAAAAGGGGTAAATGGAAAGTTGGGGGAAATGTTTGGCTCCTTAACTGAAAATGGAGCTTTGCAAATAACTGTTTGTTATCTTAACAAATTAAATTAAATGAGGTTTTCTTCTAAATGCTAGACCAATTCAACAGAAAGTAGGTGATATTTTTCTAAAATGGGACTACAGCACCATCTTGTGGAAACCTTTATGCAAAGTAATTACCAAAGTAGAAAATATATTTATACAGGTAAAGTTATTGCTTTAAACCAGTAATGATAAAATATTCTCTCTGTAAATTTTCCTCTTTGCCTTGGATTTGAAGAAGTTTTTATGTTAAGTAGATTTTTATTCTTTGATATTTGATAATGCTCATGACAGGACCCAGAACAATGAATCTGTTGTTTGTTGATGCCATGGCAAAGATGAGCAGTGTTAGTCACTACAAATGATTCAAGTTACAGGGAGTTATCATTGACGGCATCTGATTGATGCAGCAAATGTTAAAAAAAGGTCTTTCTGTCGGTGTGCAATTTAATACCGTCTCTGTTTAGTACTGCAAAAGTGAAAATCCAGAGTTGTTCAACTATTTCCTTCTTCCAGAGGCTTAAAAGGAGGACTTTTCTCCGTACAGTAGGATTCAGCCTTTGTAATGAAAGGCTTTGCTTCTGTTTCCAGGACCAAGCAGGGCCTCACTTTGATCAAACTGAAGCCAAGGGTGTTTTACTTTTAGGGCTGTAGAGCTGCTTTTCTAATGGTCTTTCATTCGCATTGGCTTTTTTTTAAATTAAATTTGTTTTTGCAAGATAGTACCATCTTCTGAAAAAGAAGTATTCATAGTACATTCAGACCTTCTTTACATGTTTGCTACTTCAAGCACTGTCACAGCAGTCAGAGTTGACATTCTACACATGAAAATAATTGCTTAGATGGATATTGCTGAGTGACAGGAAATATTAGATACCTTCCAAAACACAAGTAAATCCAGAGTGTATTCCTCACTCTAGTTTCTATGATGCCCAGCTCTTTCTAATGATTTGTAATAAATTCCTGTTGTTCATGATAACATGTTCTACAATTATAAATCATTAATTGAACTACTGCTGTTTTTTAAGGAGACTGAATGTAAATTTTAGTTTAAAAAGATGTAGTATTAATTTTGTAGTTAAGAGTTGTTTCGGCAACTCTCTTTCCTTAAACATCGATACAATAATTCCACCTGATATAACTGAAAGTATTTATGCATTATGTGGGATATTGAAGTATAATCACATTAAATAGGATGCTAAAACTGAAGCTTCTACAAAAATATACTTTTAAACTTGCTTTTTTAGCAGGATTTTAAGTCTTAAAAGTTACAAGATTCACTTATTCATTCATTTATTTATTTATTTTACTCTGCTATTTCTTACATCAGTATGCACTTGAATTTGTTTACTGAAATTAAAACATGCTGTAGAAAACATAGTAAAAATCCTCTCACCCTTGAAAAAGCAGTCTGATAACTTCTTTTAGTTATATTTTGAGTTTTTGTATATAGTGCTACACGTTATGGAATTCCAGGGCTCTGATTCATAAATACAAAGCAAATTATTGCAGTTATGACACTAGAATATAATCATTATGATGTTACTTTTGATGTTTAAGATATGTTAATTTAATTGTATTGCAGATTACTTGACTTTGGTTGTACCCAAGTATGAGACAGGTTGAATTCAGTTACATCCTGGTGTTTATGCTTAATTTGGGATTGTTCTGCATCATTGGAACTGTATTCAAAGCTCACAAGCCATAATTACGAAGTGTGTCCTGTTTCCTTATATCCAATCTTGTTATGCTTAATGTTGGAGTTCTTGAATGTGTTTATGTCCTGCTCTAGTCTCGTATCCCATGTCAGGCTCAATTCAGTTTATAGTCCAACAGCAAACATGATGCAGAAGAAACCTGGACTGAAAATGTTTGTTAAAGTTAACTTTCTTTTAAATTTGCCTGAATACTTGCACAATACTTGCCTTGAAATCAGTTTCATTAAGAAGAAAGTTTCTCATGGAATTTGCAGAACTGAAATCTAGACTCAGTGGGGAGGGAGGTTAATTGTTTTTCCTTCCCTGTCAGTCTAGAAGTGATGTGGTGTATTTATTATAGTTTTGAAGAAATATTCCAAGGTGAAAAAATACTGCATATATATTTTATTTCATTTATTTTAATTTTTTTTTCTTTAGCTTAAGCTGCTGGTAGCATGTAGTGTTGTGACTTCAACTGAGCTATACCCAATAAGAGTGGCAGTTTTCGTCTGTCCCTGTAGAAAATCAAATAGGTGATAGTTGTTTCAAATAAACTATTCTTTTTAATTCTTAAACAAGGATACTTGTTGAGTTGTGGGGATAGCTGTCTGGTGCCCATATGGCTTCACAGCAAATTCCATGTGTTGCTAAATTTGCTAATACTGCCTGCGATACAACCAGCCTATAAGCCTATTGCTCGTACTAAGTACACTTTTGTTTTTAATGGCTACTTTGTTCCTTTTATTTTTCCCCACCTTCCCTTGCTAATTGTTTGATTGGTTTGTTTGATCTATTGTATCTATTTTTATTATAGTAATGCAAAGCTAAAATCAAGGGTATGAACACAGGAGTTTATGAAGTGCATACTTGTCTTGTAAATGTTAGTTTTTCTGGAGAAAAAATGATCAAAAAGTATGAGAAACTACTAACATTTGTGAAATTTACTTAGTTGCTTTTTATTAGAGATGCTTAAATTTTTTTCTAATCATCAGTGAACAGGGATTAAACCACCTTTTTCTGTCAGCTGCTTGTTTTGACATTGGAAGTTAGCCATCATTTCAAACAGTTTCAGTTGTAATATACTCCACCTTAAAATATTTATTTGGCATTACAGTTATCTTTCTAAACATTTTATGCCATATGGAGTTCCTTTTCTGTTTCTAGGATCCTTTTTTTAACTCCGTGTGGTGAAAAATCATTTATAATTCTCAAACAGCAAAATATGCTTTTTCAGGGAAAGTATTAAATCTGCAAAAATAGTTTAATGATAGTATATTGCTTCTGTGGTATCTAGGCACATTTCTGTGTGATAGAGGTCTGTGTTATGTTCTTGGTAGGATACTTGGGATGATGCAGCTATGTCAGCTATGTCAGACAAGCAATCAATACAATGGGACTAGTTAAAACACTTGTGACTTGAGTATTCCAAATGGGAAAAAGGAGTCATACTAAAACTTCATTTGCTTGACCTTCCTAGAGCTTTTTTCATGAGGTGTAATAAACTTAGTAGCTCTGTTTCTGCGGTGTGATCTTATCTAAGAAAGAAAGATGCTCCATCTATGGGTACAAAACTCATCTTCTTTAGACTGTCTAGAGCAGATGCTTGATTTGTAAGTAGTGAGGCTTTTTACTATCTGAGAGAAAACTGCTCTACTTACAGGTTTACAACAGTAAGCAGTAGTATGGAGCAATGATGTTCTTATACAGCAATGTGTATTTCCAGTTATCATAAAGGAAGCTTCATATGCCATAAAGAAGAATAAGTCTTGATAATAGGCTGTGGAATCAGCAGAAGTAGCATTTGGCCAATGTTAGGTTTATACTGATCAATTTTTTGCATAAGTGATATCAAAGAACATTATGCTTCAGGGTATTTTAATCAAAGATACTATTATATTTCTAAAAGATACTACAAGGTCTTAATAAACTTTCACACTTGTATGTCTGTTCTCATCTTACATGGTGTTGCGGCACTTCATTGAGTGCATATGAACTGGGATTAAGAGAACCGCAGTTAAAGCACCTTGAATACTTTCCTTCCGAGAATAGTTTCGCAGAGCTAAAGTTTTTGGCAGATTAAGGAATTTCCTCCCACTGCTGCTCATTCCCATCTGGCTGCTATGAACTGCATTTTGTAACTTATCTGAATTAAGTATACTCTTCTGAAAATACATTGTGAGATGATTGGTTGGTGGTGTTTTTCCTTCCATTCCTATCAACTC